TTTACTTTTACTCAAGTGATTAACAAAAAGTATTATCCAAACAGATCCAAAGACAGAGCCCTAGGGGGAGCCTTTAGAGACCTCCTTCGGATACATGATCTCTTCTTGAATGTTTGACTTATGACTCCACCTAATGCTATTGTCATTATCCCTGCATTTCTCCTTCTTGCCCATAAAGATGTCATGCTAAAATCAATATATGCTTTTTTTATTTAAATTCCTTGTGGGGAAAAACTAGTGATCTGGAATTATTTCTTCTTAGAGCTAGAACGGTAGTAGCTTCACATAATCACAGGGTACGGTGCTAGAACCTCCCACCCTGTCTCAGCGCTCAGGGCATAAATACATGGGCTTGTGTCAGAGTGTTCTCTGAAGCTCCCAAGACCCCTGACCCAACGTTAAGTGAAGTGAGCCCTTTGCCTCGAAAAGCCAAGAGGAATTGTTTGAATTGATTAAAAAAAAATCCAGAGGGATTGATAAACCATAATATGGGAGAGAACCTGAACTAAAAGCAACTTGGGCCAGGCAGTTTGGTATTCCACATGTGACAACCAAATTCCATTAAAGTTTCTTCCTTTTTTCTGTCAAAGATTGTGGTTGGATTTAGTGCCTGAGACACGTGGCTCAGGACAAACATCTCAGGCCACATCATCACACATACAACAGTTACTTGCAATGGTTTTCCAAGGACTGCCTCTGAAATCTGCTACTCTAAACTGCGCAGGAAGAGAGTGAATGCTGAGGGCTATCGCATATGATCCCTGAAGGAAGCTATAACTCCATACCAAAGGGGAAGAAGAGGTGCTGGATAGGGGTTTTCGACTCAATACAGAGCTCAGGGAAATTGAAGGATTATCACGCTGGCTGGGGAAAATAAACAATTGTTAGCCTTGCTTTGCAATCCCTCCTTTAACAGTCAACTTTCCCAAGAGGGAAATGCTCACTTGGCTTGGGGGTTGCAGAGGAGTGACCTGGCATTATCTAGAGAATGTTCTAGCTCTAGCTCGATCCTCCCCCAACCCCTCTCCCCACAGCTTGCATGCAGAGGGGAGAGATGAGGGGAGGGGAAATCAGATGAAGGAAAGGCAATGGGGAGACAAAGGAAAGCGCAGAGGAATGCTCAAAATATATGGCGAACATGATAATTTTATTTGATTCTTTACTCAAACACCCCACTGGGGAAACAAAGTGTCCATAATTGACCACACTAGAGTTGATAGCAGAAAGAGACAGAATCAGAATTCTCGTCCTATTTGTATAAACTCCATTAGACCCAAGTTTCCTCCTCTACAAGATGAGGGCCGTGGAGACACCTACTAGGATCTCTGTGATCTCCTCAAACTCTACAATTTGTAGTTCTGGAATGTTCCACTCTGAAGGGTCAAGAAGGTTGTAGGAATCTAGACGCTGCAGAAATCGTGGTTGGGCACCATTACTGTGACCACTGAGCCCTATCTGTACACCTGGAACATCCTGTAGCCAGGACAAAGCACTGTCTGCTCTGGATGGAAGGAATTCCAGGAAATGACCACAAGGTTGGAAATTTCTGGAGAAAGGCTGACAAACTGGAGGCTGATTTCCCAGGTCCTGGGTCTCAGCCATCAACACTTGAGAAAGCTAGATTTTTCTGAAGCTGCCGCTTTCAATTCTGAAATAATCCCATGTTTCAGATCGGGGCTGGACAATGGCAAACCTGAAACCTCTGGTAGAAGCAGAAGAAAATGAGTAAGGAAGGAAAAGGTCAGTTGGGCATAGTTCCGTGCTCAGCAGTCAAGTCTTAAAATGAAGGAAACCCAGAATGCGTGGGAAAAGTGGGTTTTACGGCTGCTGTGTTTCCAGGGCCAGGCTGTGCTCTTTGTTTTGGCACATTTTTTCCTGACAAAAAGCCAGTGTTCTCACCACGTAAATACTAGCTGAGATTAATAACAACAGCATATCAGACCCTATCTGTAAAGATGCCAGATTGCACGCAAATGGCCTGGAAATACCTTGGAGAGTTTCACAAAAGTAAGACAAAGAGCAATGAAATTCTGCCAAAGGCTATCAAGGGAAAATTTTTTAAAGATGGCAAGAACGAAGAAGCAAACAGCTCATATATAAAATATTTTAAAATGGGATGCATTTGCCTCGAGCCTATGGAGTATCTGCCATTCAGCCTCGTGCCCTTCCTAAGAAAATGGCTTTGAAAATATGCTTGAGAGATGCTGAGTCCCTGAAGGTAGATGCTTGAGGTTTCGCCACCATCAAGTGGTACCAAGGGGTATAGCAGCTTTGGACAGCTCTCAGCCTAAAGCGAGATGCAGAGATAAAACATGGTCTATTCCTCATCTGACAATGATAGATGGGAGGCAGGCCATTGAGCTTGATTGCATTATCAGCTATTTAGTTCAAAGGAGATGCCACGTTGGTTCCCAGCCATCAATCAACTGACATCATCCAAGGACCAGGCTGGACTAAATTCACACATTGTATTTCAGCCTAGGCAGAGATGAAGATTTATAGGAAGGGATTTGAAACCCTCTTCTCCGTTATCATAAGGATTCTCAGGTGTCAAAACCTCCAGCCCCTGAGATTTTCCTATTTTAACAAAAGAGCTTCCTTGTGTGCCTAAAAGACATGAGACTTGAAGGGTTGACTGTCATGGGGGGGCGGTGACAAGAGCTGGTCAAATGGACAGCATTCTTCTACAGCCTGGCAACAAGAATTTAGTGAGGTGATGATCTACTCGTCCAAAGACTGTGGAGATCCCTTTATTTCTTAGAAGAGAAACAAATTGCCAGTGATGGGTACTATTTCCAGGTCCTCTCCAGATTTTGAAGAGATTGCCGTAGATCTTTTCCCGAGTGAGAGAGTGAACCCATAGCATTTTGTGGCTCTATGTTTCACTCATATCCCCCCCACCCCCCACCCCCTTTGGAGTCCCTGGGTGGTGTAAATGGTTACTGAGCTTAGCTGCTACCAAAAGATTGGCGGTTCGAGTCCACCCAGAGGCACCTCAAAACAAAGGCCTGAAGATCTACTTTGGAAAATTAGCCACTGAAAACCCTATGGAGCACAGTTCTACTCTGACACACATGGGGTCACCAGGAGTTGGAATGCACTTGACGGCAACTGGTTTTCCTTCCTTGTTGCTTGGTTGATAGGATAGAGACTGGAGAAAGAAAGAAGAGAGAGGAGGGAACACATACGTCTTGAGTACCTACACTATGACAGGTACCCTCTGTGAAACCATATTGTTTTCTCCTCATCACAAGACTCACTGGGTTATGGCCTCTGGAGGAAGACTAGAATAGTGAGAAGGATCCAAATCATTACTTGTTAATTCTCCTTTTCAATACTAGGTTGATGTTAGTGTAAAGCTGTGTGGAGAAACAATCAACCTAACATTTGTGGACTATAAGTAGGCCTAACTCAGCATGTTAGTAATTCACTTCCAACCTCACCTCACCTCTGCCCCACACTGGTTTTTCCTTTTGATGGAAAGCAGAGTGCCAGGCTCTTAGCAGGTAACTCCCTGACTCAGCTTATGCATTTTTAAATGTCAATTTCTGTGTGAGGGGATTTTTTTACTGTTGTTGCATCTTCTGCAAAGAGAGATTTGCTGTTGTCCTGCCCCCACCGAGCTGCTTCTTGGATTATTAATAATTGTTAGGGGTCAGGTCTTTGCTGAGAAAGACTGAGAATCAATTCTGTCAAATAAGGAATCTGAATTTGTCCCCTCCTACAATTAAACCTCGGATGAAACATGAAACTGGTTTTGAGGTCTCCTCCCTGTCTTTCCTGGGCTGCCAAACCCCATTCCAAGGCTGCCGCTCCTCTGTCTTTCTGGGGCAAAAACCCCAGGATCCATGGCCCTGCCTAGCTGCCCCTCTCACCCTTGCCAGCCTCAAAAAATTGGGGAAAACACATTTGTGTTAGATGTAACAAGGAGAAGGAGAGACACATGGAGAAGGGTCAAGGGCAAGTCCCATGGAATTGAACTTAGAACTTCAGCTCCAGCATGAAGCCCGACCGAGGAACCTGCTGTTTCTCATCTCAGTGCCTAATGCCCACCACCTGCACAGCTGTTGCCACAGTGGGAGAGTTGTTACCACGTCTTTATTGTGTACTGCAGGTGAGGAATGTGAATAACTTACCACACAATGAACACTACCCCATTAGTAGACAATGCCCACTTACGGAATGCAGGAAGGGAATACAGTGTAAATCTATTTACAGAGGCTGAGGATCAAGGGATAGGCAAAGGATCCCGTGCCAGAATAGCAAGAATAGCACACAAATTTTCCCGGCAAAGGAAAGTGGGTTTGCAAACTGGTAGTGAGGTCTGGAAGAACTCTCGGTAAAGCACGTGGGGAAGACTAGGGCTGGGGACTAACAGCAAGTTTGAGAATGGTACTAGAGAATGGCAGCCTGTGAACTGGCGCTAGGGAGCCACAGAGGCCCTGTGCTAGGCAGCGCCATACAGATGAGTAAAGTTAGGGTGACCTTTAGCTTCTCCTGCCTTGGCAAGAAGGGAGGGTGCCAGGCAACTGGCTTCCAGTGTAGATTTAGGCGGGGTGGGGCTGAGACAGGCCTTTGCTGTTTGTGCTCAGATTTGCGGTTCTGCTCTGGGCCAAGGGATCCTCCCCAAATCCGCTGAAGTTAGATGAGTTGGTGCCTGAAGCTGAATGAGCCAATATGGGGATCAGTGACCAAGACTTTAGTCATGTAAAATGAAGGTAATAGTAAGATAATACTCCTGAGTTGCCAGACTCCCGCTTACAAGAAGTTTCTAAGTATGCGCCAAAGTTAAAATACTGCAGTGCTACCAAGAAGTGGAGTCTTATCAACCCCTACCACCTCAGTGCGGAACAGGAGGGGGTGAGGCTGGGAAGGAGGCAAGCTCTTCCTATACTGTTCTGTAGAGTTTTCTTAGAAGACTCTGGATTTGGCCCACATCCCGTTGCTCTCCCCGCTGGTTCTGCTGCTTTGCTGTGGTTGTCCCACTCTTCAGAACAGGGTTAGCTGCCCTCTTCCCTTCCTTCATAGTCACTGTAAGGGCTATGGGCCCTTGGAATGGAGAAATCCTTTCGGGGGATCTGATTCTGAAAAGGAAGCAATCATATTGTTGAGCCACCCCAGTTCCTGGCCATTTCAACAGAAATCTGATTTCCTTCTCCTTTTCCCAAACCCTCCCCCAAAGTCCTCCCTAAGCCCAGCATTCAGTTCTTGTTATACCAACCCCATGAGGCAGATTACAAGAGAATAGCCACATCATCCTTTCAAGGTGGTGATCTAGGAAGCCAGCAGAATGGTAATGTCATCTACTCCCAAAGGACAAACGTCCCTGGGGTGCTGACCCACCAGAGGAAGAAGGAGAAAGAGATCATTTACCTGCAGAGGAAAATGAGTGGAATAAGGGGCAGAGAGTGTGTCTCCTGTCTCTTCAAAACCTGGAACAGAGGGAGAGGAGAAATTAAAGCATTAGGTGCCCCCACTTTGTGTCCCCATCTGTACTCACCTGAATGTATCAGGTGTCACAGTGTGACATATTGGTCATTCCGTTTCTGTCTCCCCAGTAGACTGCAAAGTTTTTGACGGGAAGAACTGTGTCCTGTTCACCCAGTGCCAAGCCCAGGACCAGAAACAGAATAGGCACAATATTGGTTAAATAAATGAATAACTAGCAGTATGTGGTCACTAAGAAATTCCACTTCCAAGGCTTGACCTGAGACCCACCTCACCCAAGGACCACTTCAAAAGCACATTTGAAAAGTCATAAAAACTAGTCTTTTCAGATAGGAATCTGGCCGGAGGTGAACCTAAAGCGTGTCTCACTGGGGCATCACCTATTCCCTTAACTGCCTAATGAGGAAAAAAAATCGTGTTATTAATTTTCTTTGCTGGGGGCACAGAATTTGTGAGCAATTGTTTTCTATATATTTTGAGAAAACCAGAGGGCTTTAAACTTGGGAACAGAAGGGAAAACACATGGAATTATCATAAATACAATTTAAAATCATCCATTTATTTCCTACCAGACTTACTTGTTCAAATGACTCAAAAAATATTAAATATCTTCTATATGTAAGATAAGGAGCCCTGGTGGCACAGTGGTTAAAGCACTCAGTTGCTAACGGAAATGTCAGCGGTTCAAAGCCACCAGCCGCTCTTCAGGAGAAAGATGTGGCAGTCAGCTCCTGTAAAGATTTACAGCTTTGGAAACACTGTGGGGCAGTTCTACTCTGTCCTTTAGGGTTGGAATGAGTCGGAATCGACTCGATGGCAACACGTTTTTTGGGTTTATATGTAAGAATTATAAGTGTTAACCAGAAATGATCCCTGCCCTGAAGCTGATACTACAGAGTAAGGAACATATGACGGGTACACAAATAACTCTTGAGAAAGACTCTGATAAGAGCATTTCAAAGTGCCCCAGACACTCTGGACAGGGGGTGGGGTGATTACAGAGGGAGACTGGGGAATGCTTGACTCTGGAAAAGAGCAAAAATAGGAGAGAAGAACGTGTCAGGCACAGGACAGACGCACCTTGAGCCCAGACACAGAGGCAGGAAAACGCAGCAACTTGGTTTGCCTGTCTACCAAACTTGTTTGTTCCTTGCCTCTAGGAGTTTTTCTAATCATTCCTTTTCCATTCTTTTGTTCCATCTTATCCTGATACAGTGAAAACTACATGGTTATTGTGTAGAGAGTACTGGATTAAGACTCTAGAGACCAGCTTCTGGTTCTGCTTGTCTCTGACTGGATGGGTTTTAGGCATTATCTGAGCCTTGAGCACCTTATTTATTCTACAAGCGACATGAACTAGAAAATCTCACATGTTCCCTACTGTTATAACATCCTATGACTCCCCCCCTTCTTCCTACGAGGAATCCTCCACCCAGCCAGGCTCTGTACCTTGAGTGATTTCCTCTTGAGAGTAGGCTCTGTTCTCCACACCAGTGGTCTGCTTCATGAGTTGAGGTTTACAAAAATCTTCCTCCCCAGGGTAATTCCTGGGGTTCTGTTGGTTGGTGAGCAGCAGGAACTCAGGCACAACATAAATTAGCAGGAAAACCCAGCCATTGGCAACCAAGGCTGAGCTGAGGATGGTATCATCCCACCTGGGGCCAGGGTTAGAAATCAAAAGGAGGGTGATCCATGCCACCCAGATAGCGATGGAGAGGAGGGTGGTGAGGAAGATGTGCGCCCCATGTCTCTTCCAGCCAGTGAAGGATCCACAGAAGGTGGAGGCGGATGTGAGGAAGGTCAGCACCATCAAGATAAGGATGTAGATGAGCAGCATGACAAAGTCCTCATTGCGACGAGAAAAAGAAAGCTCGGAAAAGATACTGGTATTGGTCCTGCTCACGGTGAGAACAGTGTATTCAACAGCGATGATATCCTGTACCAGGCTGAAGCCCAAGGCCAGGCCCAGAATCATCAGCGAGGAGAGGGGCTGCCTCCCTCGGACCAGCTTCGTCAAGTTGAAAGCATGAGCCAGGAGGCAGGAGAAGCAGAGGGCAAAGAGAATGCCAAAGAGGAAGAAGCGTGTGGGCCCAGTCTCTTTGTCCAGTTTGATGATGAAGGCAAAGGTGAGGCCGAAGACCCCCAACACCCCCAACAGGAAGAGAAACTGGGTCGGGAGCATTTTTCGCTTGCTGGTGTCCTGCACCTTGCTGATGAGGATCAGGATAGCGAGCATGAAGGCGATGGAGGTCACAGCCCCGAACGCAGCCAGTGTTTCCAGGACAATGCCCCAAGCTTCCTTCATATCACAAAGTCTATAGTATTTGGATCCCAGGTCCTTGTGGCAACCAGGAGGAATAGTTGTAGCCATTCTGGTACTGCGTAAAAGCAAAGTAGGGGGGTGGGGGTAATGTCTTAACAAAGGACTGGCAATAGGATTAAGAACAAAATTTGTATGTTTAGCCAGGGTTTTGCCTCTGGATTTATTACATTAGATAAAGCTACTAACATTTCCTTACCTCTTGGGACAAATTCTAAAGGCTGATGAAGCAAAGGAACAAATCTCATACCCGCCCCCCTCCAATCTAACTATATTAATATTTACCCTGAAGCCAGAGGACCCAATACTCTTATGAAGTGGTTTCAGAGCCTCACTTCAAAAAATATATAATCTCACAAATAATCCACCAGGGTTTCTGATATCTTCGATTAGTGTTTTCTTAGGAAACAGTGAACATGAGAACAGTCAAGATTGAAGGCAATGCTTTAATCACAATTTATCAGTCTCAAGTTTTTTTGTTTTTGTTTTTTTTTTTCCACGTTTGGCCTTGTTTCAGATATTTTGTAAGCATCCCATTCTCTCACGGCTAAGAGAGATGTTTCCCTTCATCTGAACTGTAGATCTTCCTACAGAAGGCCAAACATTCACTTCTGAGCCCTGGAAGGGTAAATACAAATTGAAAATAAGAGGCTTTAATTCTCACAGTTGAAAATAAGGGAAGAGGTTCCCTCCTCCCCTGTTCCTTTAGAATTCACTTTAGATAATTTATGATTGTGAATCTAGGGTGTTTTATCAATGACCTGGGAGCCCCCTCTTTTTGAAATGTATACCAGTTGCAATGAGTCTCTTGCCCTTAGAGAGGCAATAGTCTGATTTATAGAGGAGACAGGCAGGTATTTAATATAATTATTAATTTTTAATTATATATTAAATGTTATATACAATCGAGTATATATGCGGTTGAGTCAACTCCAACTCATGGCAACCCTGTGTGTGTCAGAGTAGAGCTGTACTGCCAGACAAGTGGTGGCTGTACTTGAGGCACATGGCTGGGAATCAAACCTGGGTCGCTGCCGTAGAAGGCAAGAATTATACTACTAAATTAGGGGCCTGTCAAGAAGGAAGCCCTGGATAAAACAAAAACCATGGATAATCCAACAACAACCAAAAACAAAAAATTACTCTTCTAATCACCTTTCATGTATGTTCCAAAAAAATCCCAAACCCATTGCCTTCAAGTTGATTTCAGCTCATAGTGACCCTGCAGGACGGAGTAGAACTGCCCCATAGGTTTTCCAAGGCTGTAAAACTTTACGGAAGCAGATCGTCACATCTTTCTCTGGTGGGTTTGCACCACCACCCTTTCGGTTAGCAGCTGAGCTCTTAACCACTGTGCCACCAGGGCTCCTTCATGTGTATTAATTAATTTAATTTCATAACAACTCTATGAGGTAAAAATTATTATCCCTGTTTTATAGATGAGGAAACTGAGGCAGGGAGAGGTTAAGTTACTTGCCCAATATCATACAGCCAGGAAATGGCAGTACCAAGATCTGAATCCAGATTACCTGGCTCCAGGATCCATGCTCTTAACTACTATAGGTGCTACCCTTCAAATGAGATCTAACTGGCTTTGAATGCAATCTGAAATACATGCCTGCCAACCCCAGCTGTTTATGACCCCGGTTCTATATGGCACCTGGAAATAGGAGCTCCCCCAGGGGATAGACGATCCACAAGGCACTCATCTGTTCAGGGATAATCAGGAACTGACTGAATGTGTGGACCAGAGAGTTAGAGGAAGGAAAGGGCATTAAGGCCACCTCCATAGAAATGCAGCAGTAAACAATCACAGTCTTCACCAACGGCCAAACAGAGGCAGACAATGTGCAGAAAGAAATCAGAAAGAAAGGGAAGGGCTGGGCTTAAGAGCAGGAAAAGGTACAAAGCATCACCTGCCTCCTGCCTCTTTCCTGATAGCAGATAAAAACAACTCAGAAATAGTTTGTGCACCACATACCTGTAAGTGCTTATAAAGCATTTCCCTGGCACTTCCTAAGAAGCTGTACCAAACACTATGGGGTCCTGTGATCAAGCCAAGAATGTGGGCTCCTTTCTCCTTCCATTCTGTCTCTTCAAGATCAATCACAAGGAAGAGAACAGGGCAGTGGGATAGAAACAAGCCATCATTCACCCTTGAAGGCAAATGAGTATCTTCCTTAACTCAGACAGGGAATTCAACCACCCACCGCCCTTAAAGATGCAAAATCGGCTTTTCAGTTAGTGAGATAGTTGTTGGGCCAGAAATATTTTATTGACAAAGCAATTAGGAAAAAAAATTATAAATATTTGGTGTATATGTGTATTACTGTTGTTGGTGGGTACCATCAAGTCGATTCTGACTCCTGGCAATCCCACGTGTGCAGGGTTTAACGGTTTGTGCCAGCTAGGGACACTGTACGTGTATATATTATACATACATATACATATGTACGACTGAATATTATGTATATGTTAGAATATTATATATGCATATATCTATGTGTATTAGATTAAAATAATCCCAAATAGTTTAAATCTATCTTCCTGACTTTTTAATGAAATTTTGACTCTCCAAGTTTAACTTTGTATTATATAGTTATTCACTTAACAAATATTAGTAAATTTAGCACCACTCTGTGCCCATCACTCTTCTAGGTATTAGGAATTCAATGGTGAAGGGGAAAAACAGACATATTCCCTGCCACAGTAGAAAAGACAGACAGACAATCTGCTAACTCCCCAAAGGTTTTTCACGACCTTCACTCACTGTGGGTCTGTCCCCTGCAAACTCTTTAAACCAGATGCCATAGCGTCAACTCCGACTCACGGTGGCCAGATGTGTGTCAGAATAGGACTGCGCCCTATAGGGCTTTCAATGAGTGAGTTTTCAGAAGTAGATTATGAGGCCTTTCTTGAGAGACATCTCTGGGTGGACTCGAACCTCCAACCTTTCAGTTAGCAGCCAAGCTCCTTAACAATTTGCTCCACCTAGGGACTCCACACACCCTTTACTCCACTAGAAATTACACCACAATCGGTGGATAACACATCCCTGCTGCACGCGAAACACAGACTAATGCGTGTACCTTTCTAGGGCGGTACAGGATGAGAAATAGGAAGAAAGAGCAGATAAATGAGGTTCAGATACAGGCAACCTGTGAAATTGTTGTTGTCGTGTGCCATCCAGTCCATTCCAACTCATAGCGATCCTATATTACAGAGTAGAACTGTCCCGTAGGGTTTCCTCGGCTGTCATCTTTATGGGAGCAGATCAGGTCTTTTCTCCCACGAAGCCAGTGGTGGGTTCAAACCGTTGACCTTTTGGTTAGCAGCTGAGCGCTTAATCATTGCACCACCATGGCTCCTTAACTCCTGAAACACAGGTATCCAAAGTCTGAGGTACCTTGCCTACAAATGCCCACTTTTTGGTGGGAATGGGAAAGGGAAAATGGCTCTACACCACCAGCAAGAAAGATGAAAAGCTCTGTCTCATTCAAGGGCGGCATGCACAGGGGAAGGGGCCTGGGCCCTGGCCATCTCGTTTTCACTCACCGTCTTCACCTCTCCACTTCCCCCGCCTCAGGTTAATCGTAAGGGTGGTGTCCAGCAGGAAAGTATTTCCCTCTTCTTGTCTCTGTTCTCACCTTCCCTGCCCCTCCCTGCCAATTGCTCCTTCCCCACCCTTCAACGTATTTCTCTTTGTTGACAATAATTGTCATCATAATTCCCTGCTAGTTATGAAAGACTCTGAACCTAAGGACTCTAAATCTTAACAGGGTTTAATGCAGTTTTGCGTAAAGGACAGTTCTAGTGTTGGACAGAGAGACCTGCCGTCCAGACTGGGACCTGTAGGAGGGCGCTGTGTCTCACAGCCTGTGGTATCCACGGACGTACCAGGGCCCGATAAAAGCAGCCGGCGGTAGGAGTGAATAGGGGAGAAAACCCATGTCCCCCAATTTTACCTCCACCTCCCCCGCAAATCACACAACGGGGATGAGAAAACAGTCCCTGAAGTACTTTTAAACATTGTTTTAAAAAAAAAAAATCTATATACTAAAAATTTAAGTTTTTAGTATAGACATTTTCAAATATACTCCAAAATAAAAAAAGAGAACAATGTAACGAAGGCCCACGTATCTATCCCTAAATTACCTTTTTTTTTCCCCCTTACTCTTCAATGTTTGGCTTTTTTTTTTTTTCTTCATTATTATTGCGGCAAAATATATATACCATACATTTGCCATTTTAAACATTTTTAAGTGTACAATTCAGAGGCAGTAGTTATAGTCACCATGTTGTATAAACTTCATCATTTCCAAAACTTTTTGTCCCCTAAAACAGAAACTCTGTACCCATTAAGTAATGAACTCCCTACTAGATTACTTTTAAGCAAATCCCAGACATCACATAATTTTTATCCATAAATACATCAGTTTGTATCTCTAAAAGATAGAAACTCTTTTAACTTAACCACGCTTTAAAAATCAACAATAATCCCTTAATATCAAATATCCAGACAAGATTCATATTTCCCTATCCTCTCACAAATGCCTTTAGGGGAAAAAGAAAAGAAAAACAAACATCTTAATAAGTATTTTTATCTGGGTGACTAATATTTCTGGAATTATCATTCTTAGCTCACCTCTACTGATCTTCCTCCAGCCCTTCCCCAGTGTGATTGATAGGGGTTGCTTAACGGGTTTAAAATGTCATAAATACTTTGAGTTCAGTCAACAGACAATAAAAGGTACCAGTGTCATTAACAAGCAAATCTCTACTGAAAAGCTGTTGTGTTGCTGGGGGAATAGCCTAGATGAGGAAAAGACACAGGAAAGTGGCTGGGGGAGAAGGACAGGGATCTGAGCAGCTGAAAAGAATTTCTAGAAAGCAGGATTTAATAGAGAAACAGCCTAGATGAACCTAAGGGCTAGAGCAGAAAAGAGAAATAGAGTAAGGCTAGTGGTTAAGGGGAGCTGGAACCCTGGTGGCGTAGCAGTGAAGCGCTCAGCTGCCAACCAAAAGGTTGACGGTTAAAACCCATCTAGAGG